TAATTGTTAAAATATCTATTTTCTTTGGATCGTTTTTATTTTTCTTTACAGGCAGTTCAGATACAAATCATTCCACCCTTTGTTATATTTGTGTGAGTGGAAGTGTTCACATGTGTGCTATGTACTGTATGTAAGTGCAACCATATATGTGGGGGTGTGTGTGTGTGTGTGTCTGGTGCCCAAAGCAGAGTGATGCCCCTGCTGATTCTGCTCCTCTAGCTCTTTGTCCTGCAGCACTCAGTGTGTCTGCCTCCTCGGGAGACTGGCAGGCTTCTCTAGTGTGGCTCCACAAAGGCCCAGCCTCCTTTGAGGTGTTAAAAACTTCCATTTATGCATCTCCCTGGACAAAAAAAAAGCACCAAGCCCATTTGAGTCCAGTAGCAACACAGGCAGACATTGTGGCCACGCTTCTCTAGCACTCATTTCACAGATTCTAAAACCAGTATGTGGTGAACAGGATTTGAGGGGCTAAAGTGCCCCGCGAGGCCCAGGCGATAAGAGGGGAGAAACACCACCACGCAGTAAACTAGAAGATGGGACCTAGGAAAATAAACACATTACCTGGGAGAGAAAGAGAGAGAGAGACTTGTTTTCATGCCCCTGCCCCCCAACATACACGAAAACAAAAACTCCACACCGAATATGAAAGACAGAGAACAAAGGGGGGGTGGAAAGGGAAAAAATGGGTATTTCAGAAGTTAAGAAAAGAGGCCTAATCAGTGTGCAAAAAGACAAGGCTATTCTGTGTTGTTCTGTCTTTACAGTCTTTGGAGTAAAGAATATGTGAAAGAAAATCAAAGAGAATTGATAGGTTGCACGCCCGCATGTTTGGAGCACTGGGGACTGAATGCCGTCCACCACGGACGAAAACATTTTACTTGCTGGTCGTTTCTCTCCCTTCACCCTGCCTCAACCCAGTTGCTCAGTAAATAGACTTTTATTCTTGTTATTTGACGCCGAGGAAATGACAGATAATGTATTTGCCAAGCAGCACATGAAAGCCTCGTTCAGCCACAGCACTGTATCCGTATCAGAGCATTACTTTTAACAACCTCTGGGTAGAATAGCTGTTGCTTGAGAGCGATTTTTTTTTCTCCCCTAGTTTTATCTGACATTACTGCATTTCAGCTCTGTCAAAATACTGGTCACTGTTTCACACTCAACAAAGATGTTTTAACTGGAGTGACACTCTGGTTGTCATTCTTGACGCACTGGTGCGCTGGTGCTAGACATTTTGTGAGTGTCTAGTCTGCTGTAAGTTCAGCATCAGAAACGGCATCGACCCGACGTCGAAAAGGGCAAGTCTGAGAGAGACAGAGGGTAATGATAAAGAGAGAAAAGAGAGATTTGTACAGTTGTGACAGTTGTGCGGTGTGCTGGAGCATGAAACAGCTGTTGGCATGTGACCCGGCCATGTTTTCAACACCAAATTACTCAATGACATGATAGATCGCTTGCGGAAATACTCTTTGTCTTTCTGACATCACAGCGGCAGGCTTTTTATTTTTTCTGTATGAAGCGTATCACAGCTGCAGGAAGTGAATGAACTGTGCTTTAGGTGTTTCCTGACGAGTAATGTCCTCTCGTCTGTGGAGATTACACACTGCTGTTTCATATTTCGCAGATGCTACAGTACGTACAGAATGGACTTCATGCAAGTGGATATTTAATAGACAATCGTGCTCAATTGTGTTCAATTACTATTTCAGCCTTTTCTGAGCAATGATGTTCTTCTTTGCTTCACACCTTTGCCTTCAACACTCAACCCTCCCCTTCCTCCCATTTCCCCATTTTCCCTTGGGATAGCTGCTGTTATAGCCTCACCCCAATGCATCCCAAACTCCCCCATGCAGTCCCCAGTCTGACTGACTGTGCGGCTGCTGCATTTGCAGAGATAACCACAGTGCATCCAGGTAGGGAACAGCCTGCTGATGGCATAGATTACCTCTATTGTCAAAATAACTAACTCTGCAGAATTCCTACTTTAGTGTGTTTGGACGCAGAGGAGAGTAAGGATTTGGAACGGAGGATTGGGAGGATTTTTTTTTTTTTAACATGTTGTAGATCTGGATGAATTCCACACAGAAGTTGAAGTAGAAGTTTTGGCTTGCTCATGCATATCCACACACGGCTACAGGAAGGCGAAATGCACATATGTGCACATATAACATGTGCATACATAGCATTACTGCAATATACAGTTAACAGAGGCACATGAAACACAAAACCTCTTTGGTATCCTCTGCTGTATATAGTTGTGGTGGTGTTTTCTATTGGTGCTGAGCCACTGTCACATGACAGTTTGAAAAAACACAGCTCTCTGTTATGGATAGGGGAAATTAAATTAAGCTTAACCCTCGCCATAAGTAAACACATGTCTCGAATTTAAAGGTTCAGTTGATTTAAAAGTGAATCTTTCTGACTTGTGGTAGTAAAACTGCGTTCCTCCACAGCACATAAGAGGCTTGACCTCAAATCCCAATTTTAGCAGTCGTGCGGTACACGCGATGTGTAACGCAGTACAAAGAGATAGTTTCTAGTGGCAGATTTCGGTGTTAATTGGTTAACCTTGGAACTTGAACGCGTTGTGATCAGAGCAAATGCGTACTCCTGACTTATAGAAAGGGTAGGATCAGGTACTGTCCTTTTGCTTCACATCAGCTGTTTGGACTCTGAAATATGTGTTTGTGTGTTGCTGGCAAAGGTCAGTGCTGGAAAAATATACCATAATTTATGGCTGTTTCTTTTCATATAAAAACTTTTAATGTAACATAAGTGTGTGTGCATATTTTCTTGTGTGTGTGTGTGTGTGTGGTAGCTCTGTCAAACCGAACATGGAGAAAAGGCCACTCCTTGAAAACAGATTTCTCTGTGCTCATGCCTTCTAATGTTAGCTACATCACTCTGTTTGGATTTTTCTACCTATGAGCGAAACCTCCAGTATTTTCATTACAATGAAGCAAAAAAACAGTCGTTGTGCTTTGCTTTGAGCCTTAAATTGTTGTCCAGAAAGGTCTAATTTACTGTGCATTTTTCTTTATTTAAAATAAACAGTTAAATGTATTGAAAGTTCATAAAACGTGGTGTGACTAATAAATTTGACTTTGAGTTTAACTAAAATTGTACATAGTAAGTCTGTGATCTTGTAATTAGGAATAGAGGGTGCCTGTTTTATGTTTCCTGCCTGTAGGTGTAATTCACAGCAGGAAAAGAGCTGTTACGTGCCTCTACAATAGGCCAGTTGACACGACTCTTATTACACCACAGGGATTGCTACACTGGCTTCATTATAATATCATTTGGGTTCACTCATTATTTGCAATTATAAATTTTTCCCCCTCTCACACAAATAATTATCTTAAATAACCAATGAATAAAGAACTCAGCTCCCCATGTATTATTTACCCCATTGTTCTCAATTAACATCAAATTATGAATTCAAAGGTTTGTTAATATCTACTATGTGTAATTAGTAGAGCCCTCTTTTATTTAGAGGCAACAGGAATTCAGCCTGTAGTCAGATGACAAATGGAAAGAAAGACGAACTGTTTATTGAATTATCATCCATGAAATATGTGGTTTATCCAGCAGGCAGGGAGGATACTATACTGAATAGCTTCAAATATAACTTATTCCTGTGTATATGTGGGGACAAGAGTGGGTGTTTGCAGCTGGAGCATAGTACACAGCAGTGAAATAGTGAAGCAGCATTTAAAAGCCAGAAGTAGGCTTCGAAATCAGAGGTGTAATTCATATAAGGCCATAACAAGAATACCGTTTCTTGAGTTTGTCGTCACTTAACTGAATTCCTCACGGATATTTTTCTGTCACATGAAACCTTACATCATTATTTATATCATAATAATCAAAAACAGGCCTTGTTATAATGTGAAAAGGATTTTTCTCTGAGGGAAATTGATTTTCGTCATGGTGGCAGCAGTACATTGCCGTATGTTACAGCTTTCCATTCAGCTGGGGTCACCTGGGTCCCCTCTCTCCCATTGTCACATCCAGCCTCAAGGCTACCACATTCAGACCTGTCTGTGACTCTTGCCTTTATCTGTCTCATTCTACTAGCCCTCCAGCCTCCCACGCAGCAGACTGTACTGTGCTCTGACAACAATGCAGCAGTAGTCAGTATATTTATCCTGTCTTGTTGATGGTGGCTTATTGGCCCCAGCAATAGAAGACTGAGGTGCTGTAGAGCAAATTAGTGACAGATCAGTTAAGCGTGACCTCAAAAAACCCTTGGCCTTGTTTAATTGGCGGTGTTGAGGCAGACTAATTGTATAAATAAGCTGGTAATGAGATCTTGGCTTATTGTTAAAAACAAGATAATGTGAGAAAATGAGCATGAATGATCTTGGAGCTTTTTCATCTCCCAAAGTATATGCTCTGATCACTGAATTGTTTTCGCTCTGTAATTATTACTTCTAAACTGTGGGTGCATTTAAGTTTGAGTTGGCTCTGACCCCTGAATCTGTGCACTTATTCTACACTAGAGTTTCTAACAGAGCTCTTAAGTTGCAGCACTTCAGCATGATGCTGAAACTAGCTGAGCACGGCCCCTAAATAAATCATTAGCAGCCAATGCTTGATGAAAGAAAGCTACATTAAATAAAACAATTGCTGAACACGAAAACTGTTGATTAGTGGAATCTGCGGACTTGAAGACAGAATAATGAGGTAGCAGAGAAGCAGATTTTAAACATTGTCTAAGACTGATTCCTATTAGTAACAGCTGTCAAGAGTGGAGGTCAGACACTAACAAAGCTGTTTTAACTCAGCTGTGGAAACTCTGACCCTGAGCCAACAGTCAATATGGTCCCAATTTTCTTCCTCTTGTTCGGTCTGTTTGTTCTAATGTAGGTAAATAGAGCCATCTAAGACCCATGCTGATTTTATATTACAAATTGTCTTTAACTTATGCAATATTTTGCATACAAAGACACAACTTAATAGCTTTTTTCTATGTTTTTTTTGTCTTTATTATATTGCAGGTTATTTACATGAATTCAAAATCAACCAACCAGTGATTGCTGGAAGCTGAGACTTTCAGTTTTTGTAAGTATCAATTTGCCCCTTCAGCTGTTTCTGTCTTGCACACATGTCTCAAACACCCCTGCTGTCTTTCACCCACACTGAACACCTGCATTAAATGAAGTGGACAATTGGATAGGCACAAAATGTATGCACAATTAGACAGTTATATAGGGCCAAAGTTACTGACACACCTTTCCACACTTATTTTTTTTTCTTGCATCATATATTCCTTCAGTTAATTTTGTGGTTAGTCAGAATTTCTTATTTTTTTCACAGCTTTTTCACCACTATTGTTTTGTGCTGTTGTGTCTTACAGTCCAGTTTTGTGCGTGGGCTTTGCAGGTTTACGGTTAAATCTGGTTTTCTGCTAATGAATGAAAATATCTTAAAGACTATATGAGCTACACACACACACCCAAACAAAACCTTTGCGTGGGTATTGCTAGTCAAAGATATAAAATCTAAAATATCACTAGCTAAAAGCAAATTCACAGTAGTATTGCAGGTTTATAAATTTTGTAAACATATTTATATATTTTATGTCTAAATTTAATTCTAATCTTGACAACAGTTCCTGAAATTGTACAAATATATATATAGAAGAGGTTTTAATTTCCATAAATGTCAACATTTGCACAATACTGGTTGCAGTCACTGCTGCGCCACTATGTATAACAGCCTATTTTTCTTTAACAGGGATGCAGTTTCTTCTAATTAAATTAAAATTATTGGAAATAACGTAACTTTTCTTCTGTCCGATTATAACGCAATAATGCGCTGACTTACGTTCCATTAATGATTCTTGTTAACGATCTCTGAGATGTTAAAGAAGAGGGTGAGATTATGATGGATAATCCTGTAATACATATATAACAAATAAGCGCTAATCCTCAAAGTACCAAAGGGGCGCTATCATTTATACCAAAGCAGGATCAGGTCTATGTTTAAAGCACGTCAGAGTCACAGATCAAGCACTGTATAACTCTGCTTGTAAACCGAAATATCAATTTAAAACTGGTTTACGTGAAATGTTTCAAAGCAATATAGTAAGACCGTTTCTATGAAATGTGGCATTTTGCTTAAAATAACAGAAACACTACAATTCTTTTTCTGCATCAATATCATATTACTTTAACAACCTTTGTGCAGCTGCTGCTCGTGCACGTTTTCTAATAAAAATGTATCTTAGATATTAAACAAATAAAGGAGAGGAACTAAGTTTTTATTATTCTTTTCCTCCAAATGTCAGTTGGAGATATCATGGGAGTCATATTAATGTGACTGGAAAGCTCTTCAATAACAGCTTGGAAATGTCGCTATATGAATTCAAAGTTCATGGCCATTTACTATTGTTTAATCACACCATTTCACACCACGCACGTGCCTTCTGCTCAGATGAACGCGCACCTGCCTACCAGCGATCTATCTCTGTGGCTGCCTGTTAGCATTGTCGAGACAGCCAGGTTGTGCTTTGTATGGCTGTAGATCATCTAATTAATCAGTCAGCGTTATTAGAAGCTCTCAGTACTTGCAGGCACTGTTGCGATATAATAAATAGATTTAATACTAGTGGGAAATAGAATAGATATATTATGAGTATTATGTTTTGCATAATCTGGCTGGCTTAATTTACAGATTTTTCTATATATGAAAAAAAGAAAAGAGTAAAACCAGCAGATGCTGGGTAAGCTTTTCAAAGGCTGGGTTAATTCAAACTGAATGTTTTTAGGACTTACATCTTGCTCTGCCTTTAAAGGAAGATCCATAATAGTCCCTTTGTTGAAATCATCAAGAAACCACTTATAGTTTTCGATCTTTACACTAGACGCACCAGCATAGCTCAAAATCTGCAAGCACAAAACGACACAAGCATCTCAGGGTACTTGTGAAAATGCTTATACTCGGGTCTGGTAGTTAGTGAACTGATGCCTGAAGTAAAGAAATAAAGACTCCTCAGTAAAGTGCTCATGGTTAATGGTTATTGAATGCTATTAGGCACCTGTCACTATTTGTTAAAGAGGAAAATGCAACGAGACACCCATGTGGGCAAGCAGCAGTGTCATCGCACTTTTTGAGACATTAATCTGGGTCTTTATGCGATCTTAAAACCTTCGACCTACAGGTTTAATTAAGCTCAAAATACGAGCTGAAGTAATTTAGTTTGGTTGCTTATACAACGTGTTTGATTACTCTCGTGCAAAGTCATTTAAAAAACACTTGAGGGGTATGTTAGACAATCTCTAGTACAGGTCATACACGCTCTCTGTTAAAATGCACCATTTATCCAGTAAGCCGCAGCCGCGTGGTCTCACCGCTGCTGAGCCCACTATTGATGGCTAGACTGAAGGGGAGGTTGCTGGGAGCCAGTTTGTCAGAAATTAAATAAACAGCACTTCACCACAAAATGAAAATGAACAACCTTTGAATGGTTACTCTCCATCTATTATTTATCAAATGAGCCTCTTCAGTCCACTGACCCTGCAATGATTATGGTCAATATGCTGAACAGAGACTGCTTGACAAAGACTGCCTAACAAAGATTTTAATTCCATCAGCCTCAATTACTTCAGAGAATCCCAGAGTGAATTTGGAAAACAAATTGCTGCACATGTCATTACCTGGCAAGAATGTGTAAAACCTGCTTAACTTTATTTATCTTCCTATACGCTGCATTTAATTAATAGCTCCCACTCTGTATTGCTCGGGGATGACCTCATTTGAAGGGTCTAAACTAACTGTTGGCGATCTGATTATTCTGCTCTGATATTATTATTATTTTTATAACGTTTGACAGACTTTATTTCACTCTCGGAAGAATAAAATTCTAATATGGATTTGGCCGCCGTCCTGCCTCTCACAGTCTGTTCCCTCGCACTGTAGGACAGAGTTTCATCTAGTAGCTATTCACGTCAGAAAACAGGACCAAAGAACATGCCATTAATCTCCTTGCTACCCCAGCTGTGGAAAGTAATGCATAACTAAAAGTCCTGTAAAATGAATTAATGATTTCAACCATGAACTTTTCTCCCAAAAAGCCATGAATCGTCTCCAACTGATAATGCACCACGACCCTGGAGTGTGGAATCCCTGTTGCGTTGAGAGTAGCCAGTTAATTGATTCGCAAATTATTTAAACTTTGTGGGGCCCAGGGGAGTGCTAGGCTCTAATGACAGCCCATTTTGAAAGAGCTGAAAAACTCTTCCCAGGCAAGCCGGTATTAAGTTGTAATAGTCGGCTAACAAGTCCAAACTGAGCCCCAAGATGAGATATGTGTAAGAACTGAGCATTAAATTGAGTTAGCTGAATACTCGTTAAATTAGGATGAATCACATCCTCAATTTAAGATATAATTTTATTGCCATTTATTATGTTTTTGCAAGCATTTGTTATTTTTCCCACCTCCCCCAGTGGCTCTTTTATCTTCTCTTGCATAGCGTACAATATGAAAAGCAGTCTGTTTATGATTCACATACGAGGCTGAACATTGTTACCAGAGTCAGCTTACGAAAGCCTGTTGTCATCTGTCCATCAGTATGCCAGTCACTGTAGGACAGTGAGCCATTAACCTTCTTTTTAATGGTGAATTTAAGGTGCTCAGACCTTTACTTGAATTGGACAAGTTGAAATGTTGTCATCTGTATTTTTCCCTGTATGCTTCATAATGTGTGGCTATATTTAAAGGAAAATCAGAATGTGAGGAAAAAGTCGACAAAGCTCAATAAAACAGGTGTATTTGTGAGGTTTTTGTTGTGGGAAAGCTTTTATCTAGTTATAACTGTGCAGGCTCAGCCAGTATCATACACACTTTACGTTCCATTGATTTTAAGTTGGAGTTGTTGGATCGCTGTGTTAATATCAAGGAGCCTCTAATCTCGACCCATTAGCAAGTGCTGTCATTCAGACACACGGTGTCGGCCTGATTTAAATAAAATGAAATGAAGATAGTTGTTTCTGCTCCCTTGGCTTCACTCATTGCCATAAACATATGCTCTGTGCCCCGCTTCTTTCCATCTTATTTATGACTTTAATTTGTTGTGTGGGCTGCGCAAGAAATCAAATTTAATCCAATCCTCCCAGGGACCCTGTCATATAATAACATGGTAATTTCTGTGTATCCTTTTGAAAAATGAGGAAATTAATTCTTCCTGACATGTTCTAATTATTCCAGTGTGAACGGCGGATGGGCTCCCCTCCTCCCTACCATCCACCCACCCCCCCACCCACCCCCCAGCCCCCTAAGTGTCAGTTGCCGACGGGTGGCGAGGTGCTAATGCTGACCAGCAGCGCGTTTAATTTGAAACATGAGCAGACACCTTTCAACACACCTTCCTAATGTTGGAGTGGCTCACACAAATTAATTCACTACTCATCTGGCAGCTCTGACTGAGGTGTGTGTGTGTGTGTGCGCGTGTGCATGCGTGTGCACGCCTCTATGCAAGCATGTGTATGTGCATTGTATTTTAGGTGATGTAGGGAGTCACTGGGATACCATTAACATTAGTAAAGGTAACATAGGTTGTATATATGTGTCTGTCTGTGTGTGTTTGTGTGCCTGCCTCTGGGTATGGGTGTTGAGTTGACATTGAGATTGCTTGGTCTTTTTTCCCCCCTATTTGGATCTCCATCCTCTGAAACCTGTTCTACCTTTTCACGTGTTTTGCTGCTCCATTGAGAGTAATGAAAGGCTTATTTAATTAGATTGTCATCATGCAGCGTTTAATGCATCACTTCAGTTTTCATGGGACACTACTAACAGAGATGCTGAAACAATAACCTCATCTTTAAGGCCAAAAAGCCTTGGCACAACCCACTTATAGGTGTTGTTGGTGCAAAATTACACACCAAAATCAACAATAATCGCACTTAAGGACATGGAAAAAAAACATGCACAATTACAATTGTTTTGACTGCTGTGAAGACTTGGCCTATTTAAGCCCACAGGACTGTGTATGTTCAGGCTTCCTAGAGAAGAAATGTGTCTCTGCTCTAATTATGTACGGTATCGAAGCTGCGGAGACAAGAGCCCAAAAAATAAACAAAATTTGCTGAACTTTGGATTTGGGTTAAAAACCACAGAACTGTAATTGATTTGGTGTGTGTTGTCTCCGGGTCACAGAACACAGGGCTCGTAGCTGTGGCGTCATGGTCGAAGAGAAGAGAACGTGGCTTTGTGAGCTGTGGGTGGGTCCTTCTGTGACTCAGAGCAGGGAGAGGTGTCAACATGGCCGCCTGGCCCACAGGGATTAAAGTGCCTCCCCCTCCCCACACCCTGCAGGGTTAATCACTGCCATTTTGGATCCATGCAGAGGGAGCAAATACACTCTCCATCACTGTGGAACAACTGAGACACAAGCAACCAGTTAGGCTGCCACTGTGGGTAGATGTACTTTATAAGCTTCTTTCCACTCAGTACAATAGAGTGTTTTGAGCTCTGGTTTACTTGTCTTAAAAGGGTTGGAGTTCCTGGATCAGCGCATGCTCTTGCTATCCATTCTCATTGGGGTTTATTTAAAGGATATACCAAATAACCTGGGATGTAGTTACTCTTTGGATCTGTGCAGCCAACTTATGTGTCTCGCTGTGCACCCCGCACTATGTGAGCCTGTTAATGACTGAAGACTGAGAGTTCTGTCTCATGCCAAGACCCACATTGCTGCTGGCGGTGCATTAAATCAGCAGTCAATTTGACTGGAAGTTTGAAATCTGGGCTAGGTTAAGGGGATGTGCCGAAGCCGTGTTAATAGCTAGCTTGTTGTCCATATGGTACTGCTTTAATAGAGCACATTTGTTGCAGATGGTGGGAGACTTGGTTAGGCAGAGGCAGCTTTTGGCAGAGGCTCATTCTTCGAAAGGGCTGCCGCACTGCTCAGACTGGGCCAGGCCAACTTAGTGATGTCTATCCTCCCTGCTTCTTTCTCACCAAAAAGCCTGCCCTTGAATTGCAGCCTAGCTTTAATTTAAAGACTTTTTTATTCTGCATTCAGACAAGAGCAAAGACAATATAACTCAGTCACTTTTTCCTTAGTTTTTTCGTGTTTTTTTTTTCATTTTTCTCTCCAAACCGCACCTTTACTTCCATAGCCTAAGCTCAGTTGTTGCTGACCACAATGGGACTGCAGACAGCAGGCACAGCTGAGGAAACACAAGCATGTTGAGTAAAACAGCAAGGGTTATGGAATACAACCAACGACAAAGATAGAAACTGAGCACAGCCTTATCTATTCAATTTTCACCCCAACTATTTTTAGAAGTCAGCGGAAGGATTAAGGTGTCAGTAAAACACATAGACTCAGTGACAAGTGAAAAAAAAAGACCGTGCTCTTTAATCTATTTCTCATCCTGGCTTGTTTCAGATTTCTAAACCTTTTCTGTGGTGTAGGTTTTTTAAAAAAAAAAAACCCAACTATTTATACATGTATTAGATTTTGTTTGTGTTCACTGTGCTTCACAGTGAATGCATATTTGAATTGGTAATTGTTTTAGTTTTTGTGTGCTTGCCTGCAGTCTATGTGTGCTTTTTGCACTCAGAGAAGTGAGGAGACACGCTTGATCTGCTCTGCACTGTTTGACGGTTGTTTTCTCACGTTGTCACTGGCTTGGTGTGCTCTGGCGTGGTGATGGTATTATGTGCACTGGGCCCAGCTGAGTGCAGAAAAGAGCAGAGCAGCAGCGCCCCTGGCTATGCCACTCCCGCCTCCCCAGACACCTTATTGTGAGAAAAGTCTCGGCTGAGCCCTCTGGGCCTTGTGGATCCACTGCCTTGCTAAGTGCTGGCCAGACTGAAAGGCACAGTGTCCTTGGGCCCAGCTCATTCTTTCCATTCTCTCAGAGGCTTTGTCTCATAAGCCAAGAGAGCAAGGGGAGAAAATGCCAAATTACACCCATGTCACTAAAACTTAAGGTGTTTAAGGGCTGAGATGTCATTCGCTGTAGAGTTTTGTGTTATTCATGATGATGAGGGAGTGCTATAGGAGGATAACTTCAGAAAGGAGTATTTTTCTTTCCAATGGTGTTAAAAAGTAGTGATTTTCACAACAGGAATTTCGGTATGAAGTCTTTACGGCCCTTGAATTTAAAAGATATCAAAATGAATAAAAGGACAGTGGAGAAATAAAGCGTTGAAGTGAAACGGCCTATTATAATGCCGAAAATATTTCTGCAAGATATCCTCCCATATTTTCAGAGGCTGAAACATCTTTACTGGGCTTGTGAGATCAGAGAGACGTTTAATTTTCAACCACGGATAAAAGTTCCACTGACAAATCTGTTCCTTGACATTTCTGCCTGTTTTTCCCACTTAAAGCGAAGCACATGGAAGTCCTAATCAATTTTCAGCCAATCTTAACACAATAAAAGCACATATTATATACAGGCCAATAACACAGGATAATGGAAACCTGTTGTAAGTCAATTTTAAACATGTGTCTTCAGTATTTTTGTGGGTAAAGCTTCTGAACGACCCCTGCAAGCGGTGACATCATGACCACATCCTTTTGCCTCATTGGCGCTGCGAATCCCAGCTCGGGTACCCTTGCGGCCGGGCTCCCAGAAGCCACAGCACCCTCGCTACACATGGGCTGCAGCTGGACCACCGCTGGCTACTCTGAACAGGCTAGGGCTGCTCTGGGATCTGCGGTTACACTGCTGGATGTACATGCGTATATCTGCACACAGCAGTGGAAACAGTCTGTATAGAGATCAGTAGGCAGAGTTTATTTGATGCAAACATATCATCAGGCTCTCAGTGCAAAGCGATGTTGTATGCAAATCCACTCCCTGGATGGAAAGAGGTATAATTAATGATGTCAGATCATAAAAAGACAGGATGGGTTCTGAGTCATATTTCTGCTTTAATTAAAGACATAAGATCTCATATGAGGAAGATGTATGATCTCTGTGTTTTCTTTCTTTCTTTCCTTCTTTTCTCCCTTCCTTCTCCTCCTTCTCCTTCTTTTTCTTCTTCTTCTTGTTTTTTTTTTTTTTTTGTTTAATTATTACTCATTTCATAGTAAAAATGGTTCTCTGTGATTTCTCCTGCCAGAACCCCACACGCTGACATGGAGGGCTTTCTTCGTAGCAGCTTTTTACTGAGGTTAGTTTCATTTCCGTTATTGCCATTTAGGATCATAGGTCGGGCATGGGTGGTAGCGGGCTAACAGGGGTTAAACTCTCTGACACATGTTAGCTTTAGACTTTGTCCCATGTGTGCGTGCACATGTCTGTGTGTGCGCATGTGTCTGTATATTTGAACATTGTCAAACACGGATTCTGACATATTTACCCAACCTGTTTGTTATGATTGTGCTCGTGTAGTGTGGGGCTGAGTAGCATGCTCACCCGGATAGCCTTAAGTCAGACTGAAAGCACACATCAACAGCTTGAGGGACACATGAGCTGGCCTTAACCCCACCCCCACCCTCTCCCTCCTTCCTCTCTGTATCACAGCTTAAAAAAAACTGCAGGTCAGGGTTTCTGTCTTTAAGCTGCATGCCTTTGTCTGACCACTTTCTCTCTCTGCCTCTCCGTCTCTCCCCTACTAACCACCCCTAATCGGGGATGTTGGGGTTACTGGGGTGAGGCAGTCGCTGGGATATTGTTCTTGTGATGTACTGTTGTTTCCTGTCGTGCTCTGTGTTTGTATTCAGCGTGACATAAAGATTTACATTTTTGTCTTTACCCTTCCTGTGATTCTAATTAAAAATTTGTGCTGTCATTACACACAGAGGAAGTAAATAAGAGAGCTTATTTACCATTGGCTCCTTTCCTAGTCAACCACCTTCTCTAGGCTCCAGCGTTGCTCCCTAATTAGGGTTGGCTCATTAAAAGCCACAGCAGCAGCATCTGCCTTTCAAAGCTGCTGTCAGCCAAACTTTACTAAAGCTAATGAATCCTCTTTGATTTCTTTTTCAAAAGGTCACTTATTTGATTAAATTAACAGCATTTTTTTTCCCTCAGAACTGTTGGGGGCATTTTAAAAAGAAAGGACAATTTGATACCATTACTCTCGCTAGTCAAAATGTCCTTCAGGAATTCAATAGGAACATTTTTCATGCATTTAAATGTATTTTATTTATCTTTAGCATTCAATGAGCTCGAGTCCCACATTTATACACCTAAGAAAGAAGCAAGCTGATTTCAGAGCTTTCAGACAACTGAAATTTGGTCCAAACCTATTTTGCAAAGTCATACTATATAAGATGTTTTATTATTTTATTATATTATACAAGGGTTTAAAAAAATACATCTCTAACTGTAAACCAAAACTCGCAAAAAGTGCAAATACTTACCTATATATTTTTTATTTTTATGAATTCCTCATATAGTTTCTGTTCACTAAATAAATAAAATAAGTAATGCAAAAATGTACAGTTACTGTTTTATCTTTCAGGGCATGGAACCAATTTATCTGGTGTGGTATATCTACTATGGTTTGACAGGAGTTATTCAGGCATGCAGCATGTTAAATTTTTGAAAACATGTTGCCATTGCTCATTTCCATGTTTTTTTTTGTCTTTTTTTTTTTTTTTGAGTAATGCCACAAAGTGGACGACACCATTTAACTCTCAGCACCTGTCAAAACCAATCTGCTGGAAAAATAAGTGTACTAAAGATGAACTGCATTTAGTAGGATGCGGGATAAAGAAATAGTTCTTAAAGCGATCCTTACATATACCACTTTTACAAAAATTAGAAGGCAAATACTGGAACATGACCTTTGACCTTGGCTGCTTTTCAACAATTTCCTTTTGTTCTCACAGTCTAGAGAAAACACTGCGATTATTTTAAGTAAACACACTATTGCACTGCTAATCCACATCCTTCTGTCAATGTCTGTTTTAATTAAAGGAGAAGCAGCAGCAGAAAGATATCACGCACACTGGCTGGAGATTGGAGGCCTTAACAATCAGGCCAAGATTAAAGGCAGGCTTTGCTTCAGGGTTAGCCCTTTTGCTTTGATAAAGACTTGTGTCCTGGAGTGGGCTTTGGGGTGGGGGCAGGGGTGAAAAGGGAGAAAAGGATGCAAACAGGGGCGGATGGATGTGGCAGTTAGGCATTCCTCTGGTGTACAATCCCAGTATCTTTTCTCAAACAACAGAATTAGGTCAAAGGGAGCTTTCTGAACAAATTCAGACATATCTACTCCTATATGCATTTGTTATTGACTTTTTATAGTGTACTCCATATCACCAAAGCATACCAGATGTGCCTTTCATTACTGTAATGAATCACAAGTTTGCTTTTGAGTCACACATACAGAGAGTTCTTAGCTGTAAAAGTATCCACTTTCATTTTTGACAACTGCTGCTTCCTAATGGCATCTGATACACAGCCGTCGTGAAAAATACATCAAACTCCAACAGAAAGCCCCTTATTTACCCCACAACTCAAAGACTTTCCATTGTATGATGGCAATAATTGTGCGTTTCAAATTCTCGGTAATTGTAAAAACTAATGCAAAAAATTACAGCGCCCGATGTACACGGCGTCTTTAATGGACAATTGTTTGGTTTTTTGCATTACCGTAAGCCTCCCTCGTCGAAGAGAAGGTGCGTTTTCACCTCAGATCAATTTTTTATATGTTTATGAAAGATGTTGAACAGGTTTTTGTCTGCGTAGTCACATAGGCTGGGAAAATGAGAGCAAGTGTGAGAGAGAAAGGGGAAGGAAGAAAGACTGAATACAGACATACGAAGTGAGTGAGAGAGAAGCATAAGGGTAGAGTGAGGGAGAGAGATGTCTTCAGTTTCTGACTACTCCCAGTGGGCAGGACCTCCCCCTACATTTCTGCCATTATTTGATGTAATGAAAGGAGAAAGTGTGTAACACTGAGATTGTTAATTAATTTAGTCTAACAAGATGAAGATAAATGAAACCCACTGAAGGTTGACTGGGCTAAGGGGCCCACTTAGCATTCCTCCTGCCCTCAAGCTCTGTCTCTCTTACTCCTTTACAATGGAGCACAGCTAATAGCTATAGCACTGTGTTTGCACAACCCCACTGAGCTCCAACCCAGCAAGTTTCGATGTGGAACTTTTTGGTGAAATATTTAATTCTGCAGCCTTTCTTTGTCGTTGTCTCCGCTCCAGGATTTTTTAAATTCCAAAAACGTAGCTGATTCGATTGGTAATGCAGTTAGTTTTAGTGGCCAGATGTGTGATTATCTAATTGAGTCATCTCGAAATGCGAGATAAGGCTCAGTTGACAGTTGCTATGAAACTACAAAGGCTTTTTAAAAAAATATGTGTATAGCAGTGCTTGTCAAATATGTCTTAATAGTCACAACTTTGATTATCTACTAACGGTTATATGTTTTGGAGGTTGTATTAGTGGCGCTTCTCCACCGCAACTCTGTGGCCTCTTCACATGAGCCTGTGTCACTCTGAGCTTTTCCCCATATGAATGGGTGAGTCTTCTTCAAATGTAGCCCGGGGACTATTTGAGCAGAAAGCAGAAAGGACATTTTTCTACAAAGCCAGATGGTTGTCTTCATCCACAGTCCAAGCAAATCACCATTCTATCGAGCTCCTGCCTCTGCGGACACTTTGTACAGGATCTTCATGGCAGCACAGACCAATCATTATGGCGCCCATTCTTTGCTCCCTTAGTTCTCAAGTCATCCACAATGGGTAGTTGATTGTATGGAAAACACCAGAACAATTATGTCCTCTGTTTTGGTGGCAGGGCAGCGTTTTAAAGTGCGATCCTCAATAATGGCCTCATTATTGTTATTCTTAGAGCAGGCCTCAGGAGAAAGAAGTAGCTGCTTGTAGTACGTCATTATTTCGTAAATTTCGATTAGCTCATCATGCTGTCTCCTGGCAAACAGAATCATAGCTAATTAAAAGTGAGTGAGCACTCTTGCCTGTAACTTAAAAGGTAGCACTCGATAGGCTGTTAATATGAAAGAAATGTTAAAAAAAAAAAAAAAAAAAAGGAGGATTAGAGCTGTTACCCTGGTAACTCCAACTTCCATCTGCGAGGGAACAATGAACTTGTGTTCCTCCACCACCTATGCTTGAAAAACAGAAAGCGAGGAAGTGAGTGTACTGAAAGGACAAGACCCTTTTTAAAAAACAAAAGTGGGATCCAGGTCTAATAGGCTTTTTGGTGTGGGCTGGCTAGTTGAGATCCCCAGAGCATAGAGGAGCTAAAAAAAATAAAAAAAAATAAAAAAATAAATATATATATATATATATATACTATATTACTATATATATATATATACATATATATATATATATATATATATATATATATATATATATATATATATATATATATATATATATATATATATATATATATTTATATAGATAGATAGTATATATAGTATATAGATAGATATATAATATATATATATATATATATATATTATATATATATATATATATATATATATAATATAACGCAGACAAAACGCCAAAGACTGAACTTTTTTTTTCTCTTTTTGCTTTCTCACACCAAGAAACAGCTTTTGCATGCAAAACGATGACATGAAACACCTTAAGAAAAAAAAAAGAAAATATACTTTTAATACTATAATGTCAATGATTTAATTAAAGACTTGAAAGTGACTGGATGGTGATTAAAATGATTGCTTTGCTGTGAGTACAAATTTTTTATTATATTCTTTTAATTTCGAGCTAACACATATTTCTTGTGCATTACGAGGAAAAAGGCCTCATAGCTAAGAGCTACTAAAGAGCTGCTACAGTGAAAAGGAAAACTCCTGCTCTCAAACACTGCTGAGTTATAATGATCCATGACTATGGAGGAACACTACGCGTTTCTCTTTGAGTTTTATGTCCCTTATTACAGCTGCAATACGTCTGCTCACATTAAGCTAATTTATGGCTGAGGCCAGTGTAACAGCAGTATAGGTTAATGAATTTGGCATTACTAATTAAATGTTATTGAGGGATGAATATGAATCCTGTGGTTGGAACAGACAGCTGAGAAAGGGGGAGGAGGGGAGAACAAGACAGAGGACTTTCCTGCACTGTCTCGTTTCCTCACAACAAGTGAAATACGAGAGGTGAAGGTGGAGACGGCGCCGTGTTTGAGGTGAAATGGAAGACATCTTTGTTTCAT